GTCAAATAAATCAAAACACTGGGATGAGTAAGCAAGGTGAGCACAAAACCAACTTAGAGATGCACGTTCGAAACTACTAAGGTGTGATGCACCAACTTGCGTTCAAGCTAAATAAAATGAACTACGTGTCATTTTTGAAAATAACTGAGTACTTAACAGAAAACTATACTTATCTATCTATGAAACTACTTGTAGGTTCGAAGTTTCGAATATCAATTTCAAAGGTGATCTATTCAATCGGAGATATTGGTGTTTCATAAATAATTGTCACTTCTGTTCATAGAAACGAAGAATTTGATTAAATCAACTAATGAGAAAGGTTCGAACTAGTTAAGCATACTTCACGGCAAAATATTTCTTTAGGGTGCGTGAAGCATTTAAGTTACATGGGGACTCTAGAGCTCATCAATGAAAACTTTAGCTATTTTGCCTTTTGGGTCGCTACTGCATTTCCCAAATTATCCAGTCGTTTTTCTGGCAAATAGATGCGGCTTCGTTGTAAAGGATATGTTAGAACAACTGAAGCATTCTAGGATAGTTCGCTTCGCTTCGTCCTTCGCATACTTTTATATTTTTCTTTTTTTTGCTGATTGTGAAGTGAAATGATGCAATGACGCAATGTTTGTGGCTGATCGTGTTTGATGTCATCAGAGCCAAGTCTGGTTGCTGAACATCTTCACAACAAATTGATTATGAGTCTATTAGGTAACCGGACTTTAGTATTTGAAGTGATCCACAAAGTGTACTCCGCCTTGCAATTTGCAATAAGGCACACCTTGAACGGATAAGTGAGTGTCGTATCGGCATGGTGGCATCCCTATCTAAACTTGCAGGTTTTCAATTACTGGTTTGACGTGAGCTCCTCATTCTATGGCTATTACACGGAATTCACTAAATGCTTTTTTTTGTGGATTAATCACTTGATATCCACATTCGCGAAGGCATGTACTTGTAAAAACCTCTTCTAAAAGAAATGTATTTTGATCTTCCTTAAATGCCTATCAAAGTTTCTGCCATGTCTGTCTTAATGTAAAAAATATAGGGCATGGTTTACAATAAAAGTTTCGCCGATTCCAACCTTGACTCCTGGGGGGCTTGACCCTGTTACTTGGCAATGATGAACTATTAAAAAATATCATACCAAAAATGCTTTTGGGTTTTTTAGTAAGAAACATGAACAAGAAAGTAGAAATAGCCAGTCTAACAAAAGAAGTTGATCAATTTCTTTTTAGTAATCCTTTCCTCACAAATAATGCACAAATCTTCGTGCACATTTAACACGTTTCATGTATAAATATATAGATAACATTCTCTTGTAGTTATGCAACGCAGCAATTAAATGAACTTACATGAGTACATCTAACTGCGTTTTGTAAAACAATCTGCAAAAACAAGCAACTTTATGTTTCTTCCATAGACATGGCAGAAATGGGCTAAATGTTTCCTCTAAAACGCAAAAATGTCATTCAAATAGAGGATTTAAGTTTCCATTGGACCAGAAATCTGCACTAATCACGCACTGCAAGCCGATTGGTTAAGGGCAGGAGTCGCGTTCACCCTTGTATTGGTCAATTGCCACACACACCAATTGGTTACGCGTTTTGGCTGAGCCGAGTTGATGAGTGAAGGCGAACCAGCAGAAAGGCAAAACCGAGTGACTTGGCAATCGGGGTGATTTGACGTCAGCATGTCTGTCGTCGCAGAAGTGGATCGAAGCGGGTACCATCACAATCACAGCAACAAAAGCCACCAGGATAGGAATCAAAGCGGTAGCGAGGCAGTGGAGACAAAACCCCTACATCCAAATGTCCAAATCGCCCCCTCAACAAGTGTGCAGCACTCCGTTTTTCCTTCCTTTAGTGAAAGTGATACCGGTGCATCGATACCTGAATACACCTTTTATCAAAATCATCATCAACTCCATCAGCATCAGCAGCAATCGTGGTGCCTTCCAGAAGGGGGGGTTCTCTTCTATCCACCACAGCCACTGTCGCAGCCACAGATACAGCTGCAGGCACATCCACAGCCACCTCCGCACGCGTTACAAACAACATCAGAGACAATGCCATTCTACAGTCAACAAGGAGAACGCACGGAGCCCCCGCAATGTATTGAAAGTCGGATGTCGCAGAGAGGACGGTCCAAGTCTAGTGGAAGTTCTACTGATGCACCCTGGGATATTAAGGACAGTGTTCTGCCCATGGTGAGGTGTTGTATAAAAGTGGTGGAATACAAACATGTTTATTTAGCCACAGTCGTGTTATCCTTTAACCCAAGATCTTATCTGCTGTGTCCATCATCTGGATTTGATGTCTGTTTTCTAATCAGATGTGGCAATAGCAAGGTGACATTAATGTTCATATAGCCGTGTTAAAATTCCACGTGAAATCTTATATTCGACAAAATTGCCTCTGCCTACATATGCATTTATGTCGTGTTCGTAAGCCATATTTTTTTACGATTTGACGCAATTCTTCGGTATCTCTCGGACAAATTATGCAAACTTTTCATGTTATATCCAATTTTATTCACTTGCTACATCTGATTGAATTATAAAATCATGGTTTTTGGCTTAAGTGCTGTAAGCTATAGACATTAAGTCCTCTAAATGCGATTATTACTTGGCATTAAACCAATGTGGATGTCTCGTTCATAAATGGATTATAGTGGTATTTTTAAACCAATGTTATGGTGCATTACAGTTCTCTAGGGCATTTTAAATAAATAAATAAAAAATTGCTCAGCCATTTGCAGCCTATCCTAGGTAGTTCAATACACCACTCTTGTCGTAAAATGTTTTTTATGTATCGCGAGTTAACTACAGTATCTCAAAGCTATCGTACATATTAGTTCCGTCACACCGTATCGTTAATTCATAAGAATAGCCCCCATGATTCCACATTATGGTGGTTAAATCTGTTAAATACTTCTCAGATATCCTTTCTACATCATAAAATTGAGTCTAACATCAAGTAATCTACAGAAATAAACTTCTTTCTAAGTGCCTCTCTACACTAGGTAAGCTCCTACGACCCCTACGACCTCTGGCCGGATGGCAACTGTCGACGGATTTATTCTATGGCAAGTGAGCGAGCCAGGAGACATCAGAGCGGATGGGCGATGCGAAACACCAACAATCATAACCCACAAGTCCTCAAAAAGTCGTGCCTCGGTGTGCTTGTCTGCTCCCTTGGCTGCATCTCCCCCAATGGTTTGCCTGTTGCATATCGACCCGCCATCTGCGACAAGGCGCGCAAGAAACAGTGCAGTTAGTTGAATCCCAGCATTTTTTAAACTAAAGCCTTTTGGTGGTCCGTTGATTCTCTATTGCACCATCTAAAGGCATCGATATAGCATTCGATTTAGCTGTAACGACCATACATACCATCTGAATGTGGATGTAGCTCTAATATCGAGTAAATAAAAGGGCCGGCTGTGGGTACTATAGGAGTCAAAAGATCACGGAATCTCTTCAACGCCATTTACGAAAAAATGGAGATCAACCGTAGAAGGTTCGCTGATTTAGTGATTGGAGTAATTGCAAGCTGTATATTTTGAGGACTATAGTTTATACCTCAATCGTGCTATGCGTCGAGTCTATTTAGCGTCAATAAGGGTCACAGGAGCATTTGAAAAATCAAAAGCTGTTTTCTGTTATTCATTGTATAATGTGACCCAAAAGACTCCTACTGCTGTTTATATGCTCTTTTAATATTTTGTCGATTCACTCCTTAGCGGTCAATTTGAAATATTCTAGGCCATTTTTAATTTGGAAGAGAATTTGGTCTGCATAAGATGGCCGGATTGACGTTAAACATTCATTTTGCAAACATCTATAGCACACCCCTGTCTAGCCTTTCCACTAACCATCATACAACGCTCTAAGTTTGAGAAGTCGCCAACATCCAAAAGCCACCCTGCCGAAAGCATCTACTATATCAGCAACACATTATTAGATGCCAGCATTCCGCGTTGTTTGACATGGTATCCAGTCAGCAACAATTAGACTTTCTTTCTTTACAAGTAGGCTCAGCTTCTGCTTTAACCAATGTGTTTAAGTCTGGAGGTAACCATGCCCTACATGTACAAGGTGCGACAAATCATAACCGATGTTGGCAGTAAATGTAGCAGCCAAATGATAATTCAGACAATAAATGAATGGTGCCCTTAGATCTCAATCTATTAAACAATTAACACCTGTGTGCCATCTACGAAATTATAATTGCTTTATTTATAACAAATCTGCCGCGAATTCTGCA